TTGGGGGTGAGGTTCTTTTGTTCCCCTTTCCTTTCTTCCTAAGCAAACATTTTCTTTTGAGTTCTGGATAAACGTCATTCCAAGTTTTTGGTGGGAAGCCGCTCTCTCCAGAACTTTTCCCCAGGGCTGGGCATAGGGGCAGCAAACAGTAAGAAGCCATTTCCTGTGGTTAGAGAAATGAGCCTGCCATGGAGGGCAGGCTTCTGCATGGAGAGGCAGGGCTAAAAGGGGTGCAAGGGGCCCATGTTCAAATCTGGAGTCACACCAATTTGCTGTGTGACCTTGGGAAATCCCCTTATCCTCTCTGTGTCACATTCTTGCTTGCAATTTTTAAGAATACTTTGGGACCCTCTCTTACCCTGAAAACGAGTCAGTGAAATATGAATCAGTGAAAACATGTTGTTGGTCAAATATTGGCGATATTATATGGTGTGCTCCAGGGTTTCTCAACCTCAGTGCTATTTGACCTTTGGAAAGGGGGATAAATGTGGGGGGCTGTCCTGTAGGTTGACCTCTTGCCTTGTCCGTGACCTCTACTCACTAGATTCCAGTACTGCTTCCTGAGTTCTGACAATCAAAAATGTCTTCAAACATTGCCCAGGGCCTCCCTGGTGGTGTAAGGGCTTAAGTCTTAGCACTATGAAGCTATCTGCAGCCACTGCAGCCCAAGTTCAATCCTGGGCCAGGGAACTGACCCACATGGCAGCAGACCTCTCCTGTCTCGCCCTCTGCTCCCCTCAGCAGTGTATTCAGTCAGTCTGCCTGTTCTGTTCCCTGTTTTGTCTCTGGTGAATCCTCTCAACAGCCCCCCCTCCACCGTGCACCTCTGTTCTGCACCCCAGCTCTTATATGCCTAAATAAATAATATAAATCTTTAAAAAACTTGCCTAATCTAACAGTTAAACAGTGAGAACCACCTTTGAAGGATGGTGGGACAATGTTACTTAGATTCATTCTCTATGGCATCAGAGGCTCTTGTGATGCAGTGTTTTAGGACACTACTTTTTCAACTATTTTTTCTGCCCATTTTTCTTTTTCACCTGTAAGGTTCTGAGTTTTCTATTATGTATCATATATTGAGATTATATTATATATTTGTATTATATATCATGTATCTGATAGTGCCCCACAGATTAGGCTTAGGCAAGTGTAGTGCCTAAGCCCCAGTGGGACAATCATGATATGGGTCCTTAGAATTCCAGAGTGAGGCCATGCCCCCAGCACTAGAGAACTGCATGCCCTTTGGAAAGCATCTCCTGGTGTGTGACTAGATCCTGATTAAGAAACAGTGCTCAATCATTGCCACCAATGAGCATGCATCTGGAACTGCCAGCCATTGCTGTGATGCTTTCAAGATTCCTTTAACCTCCCCTTATGAATAGAGAAGTAAACTTTGATCTCTCCTGCATAAGCAAGGATACATTCTCAGACCTGCTTTCCAAGTTGGCATCTAGTCCAAGAGTTGGGAGAAGCTTAGGTGACCATAGCCATGGAAGAGCAGAGGGAGCCGGGACCCACTTGCAAATGTTCTCACATGGTCCTGCTCTCCACAGCAACTTCTCTCTGCATAGGTTCCTGGGAGGAGGATGAAATCCTCCTTGTAGTCTGTGCTTATGTTTTAGTCCAAATCCACATTGCTCCCCTGGCACTCAGTACCCAGATCCGGCTGTGGTTCCACTTTATTCACAAGCCCAGGAGGCACCTCTGTGGGTTCTCTGTCCTCGCTCCCCATCTAGCTCCCAGCCAGGTTCTCAATCACTGACAAGTTCCCTTAAAGGTCACATGTCCTTCCAAGGAACAATCAATCCCAGGAAGTAGGAGCATCACCTAAAATCTATCTTTGCCCAACTTCTTTGACTCTGCTGTGCTTGCCACGGCCTGGCTCACAGCTGCAGGTGCCCTGGAAGCAGCATGTTCTGGGGACTCAAGACTGCCTTGAGCCTCGCATGTCTAACACATCCCCTACCCTGGGACTTCCATCTAAGAGGGGGAGTCGGGGCATCTTGCATCACTCCCTACTTTGCCAACCTGGCTTCCCTTCTCTTTTCTTGTCAAGGGGCAGATTCTCCACTTTGTCCTCTCTACTTTGGGGTTCTCTAAACCAAACTCTACTTCTTTACCATAATGATTGCCAGGAGTAGGAGAAATGCTTTATAGTGCTGAAATGTAAAACATACTGCTTTATTCTTTTCAAACACTATCCCCATAGTTTCAAAGCAGTGTCCCCAGATATATAAAGATTTCTTTGATAATGAACAATTTTTAAAGGAAAAGTTACTAAGTCAATTGATAGCCAAGTTAACAGTGGAAATAATACAAATTGTGACACTAGAGTGTTAAGGACTGAATTTTGGGAATACCAAGATACATAGAAGGAGCTGGGTGGATACATAAGTGGAAAAGACCTTCTCAAGGAGGAAGATAGTTATGTCCACAACCAAGTAGGAAGCAAGAGAGGCTGGGAAGGCAAGCACCGAGGAGTTAAAGAGAATCTAGGAAAGCTTTTTGGAAGAGGTGGTAGTTGAATTGGGCTTTAAAAGATAAACTGGAGAAGAAAGACATCCAAGATGTATGTGGGGGGATGTGACAGTAAGATAGTACATGTGAAAGCACTTTAAAAACTATTGAACAAGTAGAGGTAGAGAAAGTTGGTATCATTCCCTTGGCTACAGGGATAGAATTATGGGCCTTTTAGGTGGGCCAGAAGGGAGAAGATAGTCTAAGGGGCCTCATTTTGTAAATAAAATGGACATTGAAGACCCTGGTTGGTAGGACCTGGGGGATGCCATTTTGCGTTGACATCTCTCACCTCCCTGCCAGAAATCTCCTCTTCTTGGGAACCTCTCTGCCTCTGCACCCTACTCTGGGTTCTCCTGCATCACAGTGAGGGAGGGGAGGGCCTGAAACTTCATTCATACTTGTATCTCTAGAATGTAGAAACCTACAAGTCTGCAGTGTTGTGTAAAATAGGAAGAATGAGGCCTGGAGGAAAGAAAGAATTTGTTCAAGAGCATTCTTGACTTAGAGGAATAATCAAGGTAAAACCCAGGTGTCTGGAAAAAGGTTCCCAAGGCCATGGGTCAGAGCATGCAGCCTTTTAGAGTGTATGAGTGGTGTTAGAAAGGAAAGTGTAGGGGCCTCCCTGGTGGTGCAGGGGTTAAAGTCTCAGGGCTATCAAGCTATCGTCAGCCACTGTGACATGAGTTCAATCCCCGGCCAGGAAGGTAGCCCACATGTGGCGCAGCAGATCTCTCCTGTCTTGCCCTGTGCTCTCTTCAGCAGAGTATTTCAGTTGATCACCTCCAGGGTGAACTGTTAGAACATCCAGATGTCTCATATAGACAGTCCCTTCTTCCTTACCCCCGCCCATCATTCTCAACCATCATCACACAAAAGATTGCTGTCTACAGTTGTTCCCTGGATTTCAGGGGCAATTTGAGGTTAATTTGAATTTTATGTGATTTCTGCTGAATTAATAATCAAAGCCTCGCATAGGACTCTACTGAAACCTTTCCATAATTCCTGGCACTGTCAGCAGAAAATCAGACCTGGAGTTGGAATTGGGGAGTAAGATATTTACTAGTGGACTTCAAATCGACAAAGATTTACAGTAAAGCACATTAGGCAGCCTGTTGCTTCAACACTGAAGAGAACCTTTCCTGCTTGTGCGGAGGTCTGCAGCTAGCACGAGCTTAAAACTGAACACATGTACGATCTTATTGGCCCCCTTGTCTGTCTCAGGAGGTGACTACCCTGGGAATTCTCCTGTGCCTTAGCCTGATGCTTCTTAAATCAAGAAGCATTGTTTCTCCAAGGGGTGGGGCAAAAGGATGCATTTTCAACAAAAGCCCCAGATAAATCTCACTCTACCAGGCCAGTACCAAACCTTTGGTTAGCCCCATTTTTGCTCCTTTATCCTCAGTGAGGCCTGGAGCCTGTTGGGGCAAGATGGTGATGTTCTGGGTCCCATCCCTGCTCCTCCATGATCCACTAACTGTCACTCAGAGCATGGCCTCCTGATTGAAGGAGAACTGCAGTGACAACCCAGATGCTGCTTATTGTTTATTGCTGCTTAACTTTACCTCCCTGGGCTTGTTTCTTCATATTTACACTGGGGGTTCTGGGTCTAGATCAGAATTGCAGAGACTTCATCTACAACATAACTCAGTACACAGCCTGCAGAAATTATGTTGGGCTTCCAATGTGATATTTTTTTAATTAAATTTTTAAAAATTTTTTTTTAGATTTATTTTTTATTTATACAAGAGCAGGGGTACAGGCCAGATGCACGGGAGGGTGAGAGGATTCACCAGAGACAGAGCGGGGAACAGAACAGGCAGACTGACGAAATATACTGCTGAGGGGAGCAGCGGGTGAGACAGGAGAGGTCTGCTTTCCATGTGGGTTCCTCCGAGGCCGGCAGGGATTGAACCAGCACTGCAGAGGCTGCGGACAGCTTCACAGCACTGCGCTCAACCACCTGCACCACCAGGGAGGCCCCTGTGATATTTTAAAGGCAAGTCATATACAAATTAAGAGGTTTGGCCTACTTCTGTAATCAGAAAGCAAATGTTCACTGGAATTGAGAAGTCGCTGCCCCTTTATAGAGAGCATCTGCTGTCTAGCTTTTTTCACAGTCCCCACATCCCCCATTGTGTCTCCTGGTCAACTTTATTCACTGCTTATTTGCTGCCTCCCTGACCTCTGTAGGCATTTGAGTTTGAGGTCTCTGACTTATTTAATACCAAATGTCCTTTCCACTCTGCTGTCCTATGAGTCCAAACCTACCAAGTTATCTACCAAGTCAGTGGTTAATCATCAGCTTCTTCTTATGTAAATCAGAACAGGAAAGTCTTGTTTGGCAATTTGTTTGAAAATCTTTGTCTGATGCTATTCTTCACCAATCCTGCATCCTGTGGCAGCCTGCTCAACATTTGTCTTCTAAGAGGGAGCTGGCTCTTTTTACTGACCACAGTTCTCTGAGGCCAGCAGTGGCTGTGATGTCCTGGGAGTTCAGGGGAGCCAGCCGGATGATCAAAGTGAAGGTGCATCCAGTCCAGATCCTGATCTGGGCTGTTTTGGTGTTTGCAGCTACAACCAAGGGTGAGATATTTGGTGTGAACAGAGGGCTCTCAGGAGTGGGATTGGGAGATTTCCCTACCTTGGAGGATTTTTTTTTTACAGTCATGGTCTCTGGGGTTCCACGGAAGATTGTATAGTAACCTCAGGCACGTGGTCTTGTATTGCTGGTAGTCAGAGTCTCCTTCTTGGGTACGGGTAGAACTCAAAAGACCCTGGTCCTGCCCTTGGTTGCTCACATCCTGCTTGGAGAGGGCTTGGAGAGCACTGTCCTGGGTGCTGGGGTGGGTCATGAAACAGAATTTGTACTGTAGTGGCAGCCACCAGGCAGGACATTAAGACAACTGGGTCCTGCTAAGTAAATAGCTGGACAGTTAAGGCCCCGTATTCTATGTGGACAGAAACACTTGCACTCAGTTTTCCAAAGTGCCATCCTCCTGCCGCTGGGGGTGGATGAGGTAATTTCAAGTTGTATCTGAATCAGAGGATTTTTTTCTTTTTAATATTCATTGATGTATAAAATTATTTTCATGTGTTTTCAAAAGCATACACCTGACTCATTAAAACTACCATTCCATAGATGTAATTGCTTAGGATTCCTCTAGATAAAATTTTATTTTTTTTATTATTTTTTTAAAGATTATTTATTTTTACAAGCACTGGGTACAGTCAGAAGCACAGGAGGGTGAGAGAATTCACCAGAGCCAGAGCAGGGAACAGAACAGCCAGACTGACAAAATACACTGCTGAGGGAGCAGCGGGCACGGCAGGAGAGGTCTGCGCACCATGTGGGACCCTCGCTGGCGGCCGGGGATCAAACTGGTGCTGCAGAGGCTGCGGGCAGCTTCGCAGCCCAGCACTCAACCGCTGCGCCACCAGGGAAGGCCCTAAGTAAAATTTTAAAAGCTTATTTAAATTTAATTTTAAGAAAAAGGTTTAAGTCAGTAGTTTCCATACAGGAGATGCACAGCCATGCCAACAATTGAACTGAGAGTTACGAAAATGCCAAAATTTTTGAAAACTCTGGGCCAGATGATTTTATAGATCGTAGGGTCTTAGACTCTGGCATATATCCGTTTCATGGTAAAGGAAAGCTTCAGTGCTGTAGAGGGAGATGGTTTCCCAAATTAACAGGGGAATTGTGTGTCTTACTCCTTGCTCTTAGGAGGAACTCAATGGGTGCTCTCGCACAAGTGACTTCTAAGACAAACTTGAAGGAAGCGATAGACATGCTTCATTGAAAAGGAATCCTGATATTTCCCATTCGTTGTCTAAGTCAAGAACAATCGTCCGCTAGAGGGAGCTCCAAGTTTGGCTTGTTGCCTGCCACCTGCCAACCAGCTCCTGATTCCACCCCTTCTTCCCTGTTTGTTCCCACAGGGCTGGCTGCTGATGCCCCATGGAGGAACACCAGACTGGGATGGGTCCAGGGGAAGCAAGTCACTGTGCTAGGAAGCATCATGCCTGTGAACGTGTTCCTTGGGATCCCCTATGCAGCACCCCCTCTAGGATCCTTGCGATTTGAGAAACCGAAGCCTGCGTTACCCTGGAAGGGCTCCCGAAAAGCCACTTCCTACCCTAAATTGTAAGCCCGAGCTCAGTCCCATGAGTGGTCTACAACCTGGGCGCAGGGGCAGAGCATTGAGGGGGATAACGGTCTTGCAGCCCAATGGGAAAGGAGACGCTGGGTGGGCATTGGGGAGGGGGAGGAGAGGACTACAGAAGTGCTAGAAAGCTTCATTTCTGATACAGATTCCTGTGCTGGGCCCAGGAAATTCTATTAGCTGACAACTCTCTAGGGATTCTGAGGACCAATCAGGTTTGGGAACCACTGCAATAGCCTTATTGGGTCTTTTGGTTGGAAGGGATTGCAGAGGTGTTTCTGTGTGACTTCTAACCCTCTCACCCTGGTCTAGCCTCTATGGTCATGCTGGGGAAGAAGGGTTTTAGAGCTAAGAACCCCCTTAGTGGCCTTTTATCTCTAGCACTCAACACTGTGCCCAGTGTGGGGTCTGGCCCATAGTGGGAAATCTACCAGTGCTTGTGGAATGAGTACATGAGTGTGTTTCTGTGACATGGGAGGCAGGGAGTTAAGCAGAGCCCACTTACTATGAATTTTCATGCTCCGGTGGCCAACTAGTAATAGTTCCAGATGAAATGTGGAGGGTCCTTGAGTATTAGATCGGAGGTGGGACTTGGAAATCCCAAGAATCTTCTTTTTTTTTTAAGATTTATTTATTTTTATACAAGAACTGGGGTACAGGCCAGATGTGTGGGAGGGTGAGAGGATTCACCAGAGCCAAAGCGGGGAACTGAACAGGCAGAATGACGAAATACACCGCTGAGGGGAGCAGTGGGTGAGACAGGTGAGGTCTGCTTTGCCATGTGGGATTCTTGCTGGCCAGCGGGAATCAAACCCGCACTGCAGAGGCTGTGGAAAGCTCCACAGCGTGGCACTCAAGTGCCTGCACCACCAGGGAGGCCCTCCCAAGAATCTTCTGACTCAAATTCTGTGAAGCCTCAGTCAGGTTGGCCACCTTTGGCTCTTGATGTTGGAGTCCCAGGTAGAATGAATGTTCTAGTGCCAAGAAGCTCCCTAAGTCACAGAAAAACTATGTAGCCTTGAGGCCAAGGACACTTAGCTGAAACTCAGCTGTTCATTCATTCATTCATTTATTCATTCAACGAATATCCATGGGAACCAGCTCAACAATTAGCTCTTTATTAGGCCCTGGGAGAAACCAGAATGGTTTAGGCACAGCTGCCCTCAAAGAACCTGTAGGCTGGTAGTTGTGGTGGTGACATAAACAATAATGACAACAAAATACATAGACTGAATAACAAGTGTAGCCATTATTGGAGAAGGGCACCAGGACACACAGAGAACCACCTCGCCTCACCTTCAAGGGAAGTTAAGGATAGCTGTGTTGTGGAGCCTTGATTTCTGATTTAACCTTGTATCAGGGTTGGTGCTAGGGGCTATGGCATACAGGCTTTTGGCTTCTCAATGAGTTGAGGACACTGGTGTGTAAGCCTAGGAGACATTCTAGGAAATAACATAAAATATATAGATGTTTACAAAGATGATCTAAATGAAAAAAATATCAGAAGGTTTCTTGGAGGAGCCTGAAAGGGGAGAATTGTACTGAAAGGGGAGAACATGAGGAACTAGATATGTGATAATAGTCTTGGCAGAGGGACTGGCTTGAGCAAAACCCTGGACACAGGAGCCTTCCTGCCCTCCTTTGTCAGTTGGTTCCTGTGAATGTCATTGTGTTTCTCTGGAGATCAAAAAGGGAGCTTCCTGAGGAAAGCCCTTGATATGCTAGTCAGTGTATAGCCCTCTAGTTTGGGGAATTGTTGAGCCAGTTTGAGTCTTGATGCATGTGTCTGGATTACAGTGGTGGGTGTAGACATAGGTGAGTGTCTGGAGTTAATGGTATAATTATTCTGCACAGTGTGCTTTTCCTTCCCTTTTTGGGTAGTTTGTGCCTACATG